TCCACAGCAATGCAGGTACATGCCCACAACAAGGATAGCATCTTCACTGCAATGCAGGTACCTGCCCACACACAAGGACGGCATCCACAGCAATGCAGGTACATGCCCACAACAAGGATAGCATCTTCACTGCAATGCAGGTACCTGCCCACACACAAGGACAGCATCCACTGCAATGCAGGTACCTGCCCACACACAAGGACGGCATCTTCACTGCAATGCAGGTACATGCCCACAAGGCCCTCAGCACTTGGAAAACATCCACAGAAATCACAGCAGACCAAAAATCCCACTTCACTGCCGGCAGGACTGTGCTGAAAGAACTACTGAAGGGAGAGCTCCAGGAGGGAGAAAAGCAACCTCAGGTAGAAACAGGACTCCAGGAAAGACTAAAGGGTGCCAGAAGAGATGAATGTGTGCGTGACTCTAACGAAACACTGACTTGTAAAACAAGCACTGTCCTCATCCTGTCTTCTGGGATTTAGAAGAGATGTGGAATTGGAATATGTACCAGAAACACAAAAGGCAGGCGAGGGCAAGTGGAGTTACAATGTTGCAAAGTTTTTGAGTTGACTGGGACACGGTCAAAGTAGTAATTGGAGGTTAATTCCTAGGAGAAAGGATGCCTGGTTGCATCTGAGGTGATGAGGAGGAAGCATAAAAGGTATAATTAGCAATCTAAAACGGGAACACTGGAACAGCTTAAACACCCAGGCAATTCAGAAGAAAGAAGAAATGAATACAGAAGCAACAAAGAACAGTTGAGACAATTACAAAGCAAAGAAACAGAAGGTATGTTAAAGTTCAAAGTTTTCAGCAATTAGAATAAATACCAGTGTAAAAATGCTGCATTTAAAAATAAAGATTGCGAGACTAGAGATAAAAAGCAAATCCCACTTAACTGGAGCTTATAATGTTTCTCAATTAAACACAAAACACGAGGAAGTTGAAAATGATAGCATAGAAAACAATACAAAATAAAAGAAAGGTAATATATTAATACCAGGCAAAGTAGATTTTTAAGGCAAGGGGCATTACTAAACATGGTCAGTTTAACTTGGTGTGCTTCCAAAACCTAACCTTAGGTTACATCCAGCAGTAAAGGAAATAAAAGAAATAGACAAGCCTACACTTATAGTTGGAGCATAATTCTATAGTACTGATCTAATAAGCAGTTAAAACAATCAGGAGAGATTTGAAGATGAAATAACATGATTGACCAACTTGATAGAAATGATATATGGCATACCAACCAATAACTGCAGGATTTACATTGTTTTGAAGTAAAAACAAAGCTTGTACCAAAATACATCACATGCAGATTATAAAGCAAATTTCAAATAACTGAATATTGGTTCTTGGAAAACATTGATAAAATCGATAAAGTTTTATCCAGTATTCATCAAGATGAAAAAAAGATCACCAAGATCACAAGATCACCAGTAATGAAAAAATAGATATAGGTCTTACATATATTAAAAATGTTGAAAATATAGATAAAATGGACAGATTCCTTGAAAAGAAAAATGCAACATAGGTAATGTAAGAAGAATCAGGAAATTTGAATAGTCCCATGTCTTGAAATATTTGAACTCCCAAATCAAAACCTTCTCAAAGAAAGCTCTCTGCCCAGATGGTTTCTCTGATGAGTTCTTCCAAACAGTTAAGGAAGACTCAACCCTGCATCTACCCAAACTACTCACTTTCCTATTCGCTGGATGGGTCATTGAAACTGTTGCATCAAATAGACCTAGAACTCACAAGGAAGGAAAATTTCATGCATGTAGATGCAAAAATCCTCAACAAGACCCCAGCAAAGTAAATGAAGCGTATGTTAGAAAGATACTCCATCACAGCCACGTAGGGTTAGGTTTACAGTGAAAGGTGTATTTAATGTCTGAAAATCCATCACACAACTTTTCCATATTAAATGAACAAATGATAAACAATGCTCATCTCAATATATAACTAAAATTATGATAAATTCAACAACCATTCATGACCAAAAACTCTCAGGAAATTGGAGAATGAAAGGAACTTTCTTCAACTGTTAAAGTTATTTGTTTTCAAAGTATCTATGGCAAACATTGAGTTGACAGTGAGTAACTGAAAGCTCTCATCCTGAGATCAGAAATAAAGAGCAGGATCTGCTATAACCACTTCTATTCAATACTGGACTTCACAATCAACATGAATTCCACTTAGGAGAACCCCAATGAAATTACAGAATAATTAAAGAATTCACAAAGGAACTCAGCAAGATTGCCAAAGCAAGGTTACTGTAAGGAAATTATATTTTTCTAGAAAATTAAAATATACTTTTTTAAGAAACATAATTTAACAAGTTATTTACAATAGCATAAAAATATCTATGAATGACAATCAAATATGTACACGCCTTCTACTCAAAATATCAACACATTGAGAGAAATTAAACTCAATAGGAGGATGCACTGTGATCACAAGTTGGAAGATTCCAAGTGAGGAAGACGGCCAGCATATCCAAGCTGACCTGCTGATTCAATGCAATATCAAATGATATCCCAGAATTTTTTTTTACTGCAGTTGAGTAGCTGATTTTTTTTTAAATGTACACATAAATGCAAATGGCAAAGCTCTTGCCAATGAACAGGAAAAGAGTTGATGGACTTAAGATTTCTAGAAATAAAGACTCATTAAAGGTAAGGTAATTACAACAAAAATTGGACAGTGACAGACAAAAGGCAAATGGAACAGAACAATCTAGGCTCACACCTATCCAATCACCTGCTTTGGGACAAAGACGCTGCTGTGTCTTCCCAGAGAATAGTCCTGGATAATCTGAATACACATACAGAAAAAAGACAAATGAAAAGCCCTACCTCACACCACACACAAAATCTACTGCAGATGGATCGTAAATATCAACACAGGAGGTTCAAATAAAATTTCCAGATGATGCCATGGAAGAACACGGCGAAGATTTTTTCACAGCAAGAGGAGATAAGACGACCAGAACGTGCTCAGTGGTCATGCTGGAGATGTCTCTGTGGGCGTGGAAGCCTGCCAGTGAGCAGGAGATGTGGCTGTAGTGCCAGGAGCCTGGTGTTGTCAGTGCTCTGCACTCCACAGCCCCGTGACCCTGGGGGCCCCCATTCTCTGCCTGGTAAACCTGGGACGGCAATAGTACTTCTCTGATGAGGATAGAACTAAACTAAATAAGCACCTGCCAGTCGCCCAGCATGGTGCCCGTTTAGCAACCCCTACCCCTTCCCGGGGTCACTGGGACCACTGTTGCCAGGCAACACCTCCCAAACAAAACTAGGTCTTGTTTCTTATCGGGGCCTACATGGCACATTTGGACTTTGTTTTCAAAGAAAGAAGCCACTCTACTTCTCTGGGTGCAAAGAAAGAATGCAGTTACTTAACGATTTCTTAGCCATGCGTCTATCATGGACAACAAATTTTCAGTGACTGCGACAAACTGCGTTTCCTGTGTGCAATTATTGGGACAATGGAACACGTTATTTTTACATCCTAGCAAACACCACATGTTTAGTCATTGGCAAAATGACATCCAATACAGTCATGTCTTTTTCAATTGAAAAATGCCACTGACATGTGACTAGTGATGTCCCCCTATAGAAGACCCGTCCAATCATTTCGCACTTACAGGATCGACATCCACACGGGCAATGATTCCAAAATGCTATTAGGCTGGCTAAGTGAATGTGTCGTGCTGTACAAATGATGTATGTCAAGAATGCTGATCGTTCCATATAGGGAAATAAGCAGAGAGTTTTCTGGTTCAGCTATCCTCTGCTAGCTTACCTCTCTAAAGCTTTATCATTTTTTAATAAAAGATTGATTTATGGGGCCGGCGCTGTGGCATAGCAGGCGAAGACCCCACCTGCAGTGCCAGAATCACATACGGGCGCTGGTTCAAGTCCCAGCTGCTCTGCTTCCAATCCAGCTCCCTGCTAATGTGCTTGGGAAAACAGAAGAAAATGGTCCAAGTCCTTGGGCCCCTGCACTCACATGGGAGACCCTGATGGAGTCCTGGGCTCCTGATTTCAGACTGGACCAGCCCCAGCCATTGTAGCCATTTAGAGTGAACCAGGAGATGGAAGTGTGCACTCGCTCGCTCGTTCTCTCTCTCTGCCACTCTTCTTTTCAGATAAACACAGAATGAATCGTCAAGAAAATCCCTGATAAAATAAGCTATAAGTCATTTTATTTAGCACTAATGATGCTGAAGACATGAATTTAATCCTAATACACTCAGTAGGTTTTGCTCTAAAAAATTCTGTTCTGGGACCAAAGCCTTTATCCTTTAATCCTGATCAAGTACTTGTAAAGCAGTCATTGGTTTTCAAAGAGAATAAAGGTTCATGTGGGCAGGAAACACTCAGAATTCACTACGAGCGAAAAATGAGGCAGAGTTTCAGCGCCCTTTGCACACAGTGTGTCCTGTAAGCCCTCTCCAGCCACCAACACACGGAGTCCAACAATCGTTTGAGGTAGGCTCCACCTTTTACAGCTGCACAGAGGGGTTAATTAATTTGTCCAAGGTCACACAGCTACTAAGAGACTGACTTTGGGCTTCAATGAAGATAGTCTGACTCTTTCCTTCTTGCTCTTGAATACGTTTCAGCACCTTTCAACACCAAACCCAAACCCAAACCTAGAAGCTTCTGAGCGCCAGGGCAAGACCACATCAGTTCTGTATTTTCCAGCCATTTGCATAATAACTAAGTCTTTGATAAATGAGAGCCAAGCAGAATTCTCATCCAAGGCCAGTAGTGCATCTTTATCTAAGTGCAGATTATTGAAACCAAGACATCATATTTCATGCTAGCATTCTGCAAGGGTTGTTAGCATAGAGAGAGGCTGGCTCCAGGCTGGGAGGCACTGATCTGCCCCTCCTCCCCGACCCCCCAACACCTGCCCCGACGTACCCAGAAAGCCTAAGTGGGATTTGCACCTGTCTCTTGGCACCGCTGGTCATTTCCACTCCTTACCTGAACAGGCAAAGAATTATGCTTCCGGTCGCAAGGGACATCAGGGAGACACTGTAGCCCAGGGTGTAAATGGCCTTCACCAGAATATAAAAGGTGATCTACAAAGAAAGAAAAACGCATCTGTAAGCTGTCGCTGATGGCCAGCCAGCCACAGGTCAGGGGAACTGGTCTGAGGTTTCACCATGTGTTCCCTGCCACGGACAGCCCTGGCCGGCTGACTGCCTGGAAGGCAGGGCACAGACCATCATACAGACCCACTCCTGTCCTGAGCAAAAAGATGACGTTCACCACGCTGAGCATCACAGATGTCCTGTGATTATGCACGACTTCGGAGGGCTTCCCAGAAGCCAAGGGAGGAGGGCAAAGCTAGGCTGAAGCCAGGAGGCTTGGGAACAGGACCCGACCCACCTTCCGGGGGACACATTTCCATCAGGCTCAATTGGCCCTCGGGTCTTGGTGCTCTCAAACCAGTGTGACCTCACAGGTGCACAGCTGAGGTTCTCAGAGGAGCGAACCCCCTTGGCCAGAGCCGGGGAAGGGCTGCAGCGCCCTGTACTTTTAATTTCCGTAGCATTTCTTGCTTTAGCAGACTGCGTGGCTTGATACTTTTAATCCCCACGAAATCATGGCACACAAGAGGGATGAGTGACAATCACTGGGACAGGGCTGTGGGAAGCTCTGACACACAGGGGACCCGGCCCAGAGAGGAGCGGCGTCTCGTGGAAGACGAGCCAGGCTATGTCTTCACGCCTCCCAGGGCCTGGTTCCTGGTGCACCCTTTTCTCCATGAAACCAATTCCCACCCCACAGCGAGGCCAACAGTCCACGAGTTCTTGGATCTCAGCCTTGCCGGGAGGATTGTGTGCCTCAATGGTCTGTTACTGTAACTAAACGCTTGAGGCCGGGGAACTATAAAGAAAAGAGGTTCATCTGGGAGGTCCGAGTGCCCACACCTAGCGACTGTGTTCCTGCTGGCAAAGGTGAGACAGTGGCAGACTGTGGGGGCTCTGGTCTCTCCCTCTTCTTCTCTTCCTTCTTATTTATTTTTTTAAAGATTTTTATTCACTTGAGTGGCAGAGTTACAGCAGACAGAGGGAAAGACAGAGATCTTCCATCCTCTGGTTCACTCCCCAAATGATTGCAGCAGATGGAGCTGGGCCAACCTGAAGCCAGGAGCTTCTTCTGGGTCTCCCACATCGGTGCGGGGGCCCAGGCATCTTCCACTGCTTTCCCAGGCCACAGCAGAGAGCTGGATCAGAAGAGGAGCAGCTGGGATACAATTCAGCACCCATAAGGGATGCCGGCACCACAGACAGAAGTTTAGCCCACTGCACCGCAGCGCCGGCCCTGGTCTCTCCCTCTCCTTATGAGCCACCAGGATTTATCAGGGGACTCCACCCCGACAGCCTGGCCTAGTCCTACTCCATAGGCGGGGTGGCGAGGGGTGTGACGGGAGAAAATCGTTCTCAGCCTCAGAGGCCCCTGGCTGAACTGCTCCTTCCCTCCCCGTCGTGTGAAAGGCACTCCCTACCGCGGGCACAGAGCCCTCCAGGATGGGGCCTGGGCAGGGAGTGAACCAAGGAAAGAGTAGGAGGGTCCTGAGTGAGCAGAATGTGGGGTCATTATTTAGTGGCGACCCGGGGACACAATGGAAATGAACATGACTGGAATCAGAATCTCCACAAACTGTGTACCTGAGCTGGGAGGCTGGGTGATCAATCACTTTGCCACAGGGGCTGGTCCCACATGGGTCGGTGGCTGGGGCAGGTGCAGGGGCCTGGGGGTCCTGGGGGCTGGCAGAGACAAGCACTGCAGAGAGCCTGGTGGGACTGTGTCCGGCTGGGCTGATGGGGCCACCATCCCTCCCCGCCACCCCCGTCCTCACAACTCTTGCCATAGCATTGTGGGAGGGTCAGGCTTAGGAGCAGGGGAGGGAGACACCCAAGGCAGAAAACCACCTTTCAGAGCTCTGCAGGTCTTGCCCACCCTGTGCAAACACCTGACGCTTTCCCCAGGGGAAATTCATCATGGTTCCAGCAAGGGGCTGCTGACCCCATAGATCAGAGGCTGTGGCTATGACTCCACCATGCACCAAGGCCAGGCTATTGCTTCCGGAGCCCTGCTGCCTGGGGATGGAACACAAGCCAAGAAAGCTGGAGCGACTACAAGCCAGGGTCCCCGGAAGCCCACCGGACTCCTTCCTGGGTGGAGAAGACCTTCTCGGGTCTCCTCAGTGCTGGGGTTCTAAAGAGGCAAGGATGGGAGTGGCGGGAGGGAATTTCATTCCCTCTGGGCATGTTTCGATGTTTCTGAGCTGTTGCAGAGCCTTAGTCCTGAGAGCCCGGACCAGCGTCCCTGCTGGTCATCTCTCTGCCACTGCACCCCCCCACCCCGAGTTCCACTTGTCCCCTCCTCCCCTGCAGCAATGGCCTCAAGTCTCCCTGGGCCTGCCTGGGGGGAAGGGACTGCCAGGAGGTCCCTGCAGGACAGGGGCATGCAGGAGGGTGTGGAGGGGGTTCGTTCTCCTGGGCTCCCTGACTGCTCAGAGCTCTAGGGGGTTCCCTCCTCCAAGCTCTTTTCTTGGCATGGGATTGCTAGGAGCAGGCTCTCCCCCATGGCCCTTGCTCCTCTGTCGGCCTGAGGGGTTCTGGGGGCCACGCCGCACAGCCAGGCTCTGCCCCGGGGCAGCTCAGTGCAGGCTGACGTGCGCTGCCTCCCCCAGCCATCTGTGCACCGTTCTCCGCCCTCCCTACACTGAGAACTGGACTTCGATGTGATGGTATTTCAAGGATGCTTCCTCCATCCTCGTGACCACTTACAAAGGCTTCCTGGCTGGCTCATCATATTTTAGAAAGATTACATTGGCTAAAATCAACCAGCAAATTCATTAGTATGATTCGCTCAATCGGTCAAGCAATGAAGGTTAGCACACACCGTGACCTGGCACACTAATGTATTAATACGGTTACTAGAAAGGGATGCTCTTTATTTTCTGCCTTGTTAAACCTCAATAGGTAACCGAGATCCCTATTATGTGAACTGAATACTGGCACTTCCCATTGTTGCTGTATTGGTTGCTTAAATCTGAATTAATTCAAGTCCAATAAAATTTAAGCCCAGTGACTCAGCGGCAGCAGCCTCTTGTGCCAAGCTACACGTGGCCGGCAGCCTCCAAGCTGGACAAGTGGACCAAGACTGTGTCCGCCCTCAAAGAGAGCCCTGTGAGCAGAGACCACGTGACCACCACCCATCCCGGACCTACCCCAGGTGGCACACGTGTGCTTTCACACTTCAACCTCATGACAGGAATGAAACAACATGGGACCCCCGAACACAAGGCGTGTCGAGGGAACCACCCAGAAACGCAACCACAACCAACAACTGGGGCTCAGGTTCTGCAGTCCTGCTCCTTGTGCCCAAAGTGTTCCCCGTTCCAAGCTGCTCTGACTTTTCCATGGATGGCCCCGGGGATCAGCGTGAGTGGGGAGCCCCCGCCACCCCGACACGTGGACATGACGCTCCTCTCGTGACCTCCACGCTTTCAACAAGAAAATGCTCGGCTCAGTGTGGCTATTTTAAATTTCAAAAAACGTACAATAGCTCCGCTCATTACAGGCTTCTAAAAACGCCATGATTTCCCACTGGAGAGGAGGAATGAGGCAGCAGGAAGTGCACAGACACGAGAAGAAAGGGCGTGATCTAACAGCTGTGACTTCAGAGAAAAGAAAGTCATGGTCACAGCAGAAGTTAATTCCAGCACTGATTCTGGAAAGAGACGTTTGGGAGACCTTGAAGTTCTCTCTGTAGGTCCAAAGAGCCTGCCGAAACCAAAGAGAAGGGCCAGAAGTCGTGTCATCAAGCAAATGCCATCGCTTGCCCTGGCCAAAAAGCAGCAGCTGCCTCGCCAGCGGCACCGAGCCCGGGGTTATGGCACAGCACAGCAGTGGTCGGATGGTGCAGGTGCGGCCCCTCGCAGGGTTGCTCCACGGCACAGGCCCAGATGCAGGTGCCCGCTGCTCACCTGGGGTACCCACACTTGCATAGCAGCTCGCTCACAAACCAAAAAAATCAGCACAAACAGCCATGTCGCCTGAACTACGGAGCTCATCTTGTGCTAACTTGAAATACCATGGGCGCTTTTTACAAATCGGTCACACGCTTTGCCTACATTGTTTCCTTAAAGGGGACTAGGATGCATTTAAAATCTGTCAGGGAAATCCTGAATGTTTAGTCTGATAGCAGAGCCATCCGACCCCCAGGTCCGAAGTCCCTTCCCCAAGACCACCCTGCCCACAGACACACATTCCAAGAATGGGAAAAAGTCTCCCCGAGAGAATTGTGTGATTGTGTGTGTGTGTGTGTGTGTGTGCGCGCGCGCGTGTGACAGTCTGGCCTTCCCTAGCCTCTTAATTAATGCTTGGGATGATCTGGATCTTCCGTGGGTGACGGCAGCAATGGTAGGTTCAGCAGAGCCCTGGCAGGCTCACAGCAGAGCCAAGTGTGAAAGCGGCAGAACCCCTGGCCTCCGCCACCGCCTCCCTCCCCAGGCCGAGGTGGCAGGCAGCAGAGGAGCCCTCTGCCCGGGCCCCAGGAGCCCTCCAAGCATGGTCCCCAGAATAAAGCAGGTGACAGCTAGGTTCCGAAGACACTCTCGACAATGCTAATTTCGGCTTTTGTCCATTTTCGACTTCTCTTTTCTGCTTCAGGCATTATAAATAGGATGAGGGTAGAAAGGGCAGCTTTCTGCCATTGCAGCTGGTGACGGAATCTGGGTTGAATGGTAGCAATGGAAGCTTTCGGCAAGGCAAGAGCGGAGACGACGATACAGTGGAGGCACGTCACCACCCACAGGTGCCAGGAGCAGTGCCCGGCGCTCCTCCTGGCCTGAGCTTGGGGACTGTGGTTCCCACGCAAGCCTTCGTGTGTTCAGGACATGAACTATCTTACACACGACTCGGTCACGGTTGGTGTTGCGTCATTCTATTTTAATTAAATGGCTTTGCTCTGCACATGGAGTCATATAATTTTGGGCCATTTCTATACTGTATTTGCTCCACCTGTCTAGCTACCACCTCCTCTCCCCCACCTGATTTTATTA